TTCATAAATAAAAAAAATTGGATCATTACGACTCCAGGGGATAGTGTGCGACTGTTATGGTAAATATGTATATGTGCATCCAACGATCATATCTATCCGGGTGCTTCAGTATGTCGTGCTTGTTCGACCAAGAGTTCCTATCGTAAAAAGGTTCAGCTGAATTGATATAAAACTATTTTCTCAGTACAGTATGATCACCTCTACTTGCTGTTGAAGCCGACATCTGCACTACCATTGCATTTTGCCAACTCTCTATACGATTCCGACTTAATAATGAATAACGATATACTGAGCCCAATTTATCAAGCGTTCTATATAACTATTCCAACAATTTCTATAATCGGAAACTTCTTCATGATTTATGTTACTGTACGATCAAGGTGAGCTTTTCCGATTAAATTTGATCCTCAATAGTTTTGTGGTGTCCCTAGGATTTAATAAAATGAAGGCGGAAGCTTATTCATAGTGGGAACCGCTGGAACTGTCGTACAGATCTGACTGATACATTTAAACCCCTAGAAGTTGTTAGAAAAAATATGTATTTGTACCATGGACTGCCTGAAAACTTCGATGATTTCAGCAAGCTCAGAAGCACGTGCAACATCATGATTGGATTCATTTCTCTTGGAGATTTGCTGCATATGATCGGACATTATGTGATGGTCATCTCCCACAACTTGTTGGTTTTCGAGAGTATTTTTATTTATTTGTCTGTTTATTTATATTCAATGGCTTTCGGAAGATAACCCTACTCTGGGGAGTATTTGGACTTTGCATTTGTTTTTTTTATTTACAGAGTTCCTGGTCATCTTATTAGGCAAGATACTTGCATGTATCTGCAAATATTTCCGCTAAGTGGATACTTGGTCTCTTCGGTGTTACTGTTGAGTGTGGCTATTGACCGACTTTTATCGCTACAGAAATTCTAGTAGGTCTTTCATGGCAGATGCTAATTTTATTGAACCTATTTTATTATTTTATTTTTGCTAATTTTACCTAGTGTGGGAAGTTACACCACTTTTTTAATAGTGTGATTATGATTATGACTTATTATCGGGATTCAAAGAAAATAACAGAACGACAAAAAGAAACACAAGCAAGTCACCGATAAGCAGTAATTTCAAACTAATGGGGAACAACAGAGAGATCTACGTGAAGAGGGACTGTAATTCGGCTCGGAAGGGCAATGGCCGCCAACACTGCAAGCTCGTACAGGATGACATACGTAGAACTCCGGATACCGTCTTAGTAGGTCCGCCAACCTTCCGAAACCCAAGCCAGCATCGCAGAAGTCAAGGGGATAGTGTTATGCACAAAACGGGAAATCAATCATTCATAAAAAAAGAAAAAGTAGACATAAAGTAACAGTTTTCTGAGTCATACAAAGCTATTAACATAACAGCAAGGTCAATCTCTTCTCTGTCTGATAAGTTATTGAGAGTTCAGTTTCCTGCTCCTAAAGCCAACCTTGAAAAACCAAAAAACCTTGAGAAACCAAAGCAATTCAATCCATAAACTAACTACTCTTTGAGTGAAAGAATTCCGATATTCCATTGTGGAAGTTTTTTCCCTTAATGTACCACTTTTACTCCATTGATATATGACAGTTAGGCTGTTGTATATCAGAGCTGGTTGCCGAGTATGGTAATGTTTACTTGAAGGCACAACTCTCGATGGTTTTTGGGATTTTTCACTGAGACCAACCACTCACCTTCAATGAATAGTACAAGGGGCCTACTATGTAGCTAAAAACATGAAGACATCTGCTTCCAGAATTCCTCGATGTTTCAGTTTAACGCTATCTCGGCAGTACAAGGTTGCATACACAAGTGTCCAGATTTTTGCAGTACTTCTATACACACTGTTCTTTGGAATTTGGATATTCATGAGCCGCTCTACAGAAGAGTGAGTCTCACTCAAGACCTTGATCAATTCATCTTTGGGCATTTTTTTACTCTATATTGTATTCCTTTGAATAAAGACGAAGATATTGACAAACTCGCCTTACAATGCTGAAGATTTTTTAGAAGTGTTTTCTGCGTTATAACTGCTCCTTTGAAAGGCGACTTATATGCGGTTCTAACAAGAACTGTGATGATAATCAATATATTGATTGTTCTCTGCTATGTTCTGTTCATGTGCCTTTTGAAAAAGGTTCGAATAAGTGAGTTCTTAGGATGTTTTTGTGGTAATTTTATATAGATGATTAGGCGATTTCAGTAGAAGTTAGATGGCTTGCCATTTATATTAAAACAACCCGAAACTTGAAAATCAAACGAACAACTTCGAAAGCCATGAAGTGTTCGTTCAGGGACATTTCGCTAGCACTCTTTGACAACTTATCTTCTTCCTTTCCCTTGTTCGTTTTATCTTTTCCACCATGAGTTTTACATTTTCTTGTATCCTCTTTTGTATCCTGATATGAGGTAGAGGTGATGTAGTGTAAGTGGCGCACTGTTACTCAGAGCCCCAACACCGAGTGCCGTATTGGTAGGGCCAGCCTAACGGGTCTTCCACCTAACCGTGGTCGTCGAATTGGAACCAGATTCGTCTGGAATGACTTATATATGGGCTGACCACCCTGAATCACCATAGATGTCAGATATGCATCGAAAGTGACTGTTATGAATAGAAGTTGAATGCAGGGGTACATCCCAAAAATGGAGTTGATTAGCGCTGTATGCTTTACCCTTTGTTCTTCATTCCTCATGCTCTATCAGGGTTCAACTGCCCCTTGGAAATATGTACGTAAGTAATCCTCGAGTCGGCTGAATACTTGCCCCTGAAACGACCAGAATGGTGGTCCCTACTAATCATTTCTTTAACGAGAATAGCGAGTATAGGCCGAAGTCACTTGCTGGTGCTGTTCTTGGATCATGACCGTATCCACCTACGCTCGCTAACTCTAATTACCGCTCGAGTTATTTTGAACATAACCAGANTGACAAACTCGCCTTACAATGCTGAAGATTTTTTAGAAATGTTTTCTGCGTTATAACTGCTCCTTTGAAAGGCAACTTATATGCGGTTCTGACAAGAACTGTGATGATAATCAATATATTGATTGTTCTNATGCTTTACCCTTTGTTCTTCATTCCTCATGCTCTATCAGGGTTCAACTGCCCCTTGGAAATATGTACGTAAGTAATCCTCGAGTCGGCTGAATACTTGCCCCTGAAACGACCAGAATGGTGGTCCCTACTAATCATTTCTTTAACGAGAATAGCGAGTATAGGCCGAAGTCACTTGCTGGTGCTGTTCTTGGATCATGACCGTATCCACCTACGCTCGCTAACTCTAATTACCGCTCGAGTTATTTTGAACATAACCAGAGTATGACCGGAAACTTCAATCAATTCGATGTTTCGTAATGGAGCAGAATCTCTGCGAATCCATTTACCCGATACGGATATTTTGCTTTGATTCGAATCTAATTAATTTCATATTTTGCAGGTTATGACGTTATGAAGAATATTTATCGCTCCCTGATGGCAATCAGTCTCACAGTGGTCTTCGGTTCATTCAGCACAACGTTTATCAGCTCATTTGCTCAAATTCTTAAATTAAATATCGACAGAGCAGACGTGGATCTTGTATCAGGACTATTCATAAATTCGTCTTGTTCCATTAATTTCTTCGTTTTCTACGCCGTTAGGTAGGGAAATTATACTTTTCTGCCGTATTCAATTAATAATTCCATGTAGTTAATCGTGAAACATTCAAATCCCTCCATAAAATCATTAAAGGTTCATTCCAGCAAGGATTATCGACAAGTGTTTCAAGAATACCTGCCCTGTGCTCGGTCTAAAGCTTCAAGAGTCACATCAATTACTACCAATATCGGGCCCCCATCACCAGCACACTGGCGGCGAGCATCGCGCAATATCTGATCATCTCTCGGTCGTTATAAAGAGGCCTCTGTTATAAATGAATAAGGACATGTTACTTTTCACTTTCTGGATTTGAAGTTTCCATTTACAAATCTTCAGCCCTCACTCATCCTTTCTTTGAACGGACTTTGAAAGCAGCCAATCGAAGCTTCTGCTTGTAAATGATTCCGTATTGCAATGTGTTCATGTACCGCTGCTCATGGAGAACGTGGGGCTGGACTCAACTTCATTCTGAGAAAAGATTGTAAAAAAAATTCGCTTATATGCTAGTGGAAGACTTGTCAAAGCACTGGTTGTGTTGCGTTTCTACCACTGGCAGCAGAAGAGGTGCTCCCATATGATTTGCTACCAAAGTAACGCGTACAAGGTCAGAGCAAGAAGTGCTGCTTTCTCGAATTTCAGAGGGTGTAAATATATAGTAGCATAAAGGGACGGGCACGATCGTTCCTATGTGTACTTCCCAGAATAGAATTCAGTACAAGTTACATACATAGTTAATCAAGCTCTGAACGTCATTGAACCAAGGCCAACTAGGTGGAATCCCGGACAAGCATTATACTAAGATCGACTTTTAGTGAATCAGGGGTTATTCCGTAGTGATGAGAGTGAAAATGCCCTTGATCCACTAGTCATTCAGTGAAGACCTATGGTCCCAGTGGTTATGGAGATTCATAGTTCGTCTCACCAAGCACGTCGGTGTCACTTTCCTGAAAATGGCTCTCATTCTCATTGGGGAGCCAGAATTTGGGAAACCATGACCTGCGGCTCTCCCTCTACTTATTCTATAATTTATTTATGTACATGATGATACGTATTTCCTACTACAGTCATGTTTCCTTAAGGTGGATCACAGCGAACAATTTGAAGAAGACCTCCATCCAACACTGGTGCTCCAGGCAGCATTATATTCCTCATACAAGCCAAATTTATAGTGGAGAAATTGAGCTTGTTGATCGAAAGAGACTGTTGCAGCACATATTTATTGCAAAAGTATGTTCAAATCACAGAGCACACAATGATTCCTACTGCGGTGATAGAGAATTTAGGACACAAATATAAAGTAATATCTAAATGGAACCCGACGCATTAGGCATTGCTCGCAAACGAAGCACAGTGAGTTGTGAATATCGCAAATTTCAGAATTATAAGGGCTTCCAGTTTGGTAGACATGCAGCACAATTTCCGAGAACTGATGAAACTTTAGAAACTCGTCCATCCACTCCCCAAGGCATCGTTTCTATGTTCATATCGTACTTATGAGCAGGTTCTATGGATCTGGACTGCTGCAATTCGACATGCAACAGTTACGGTGCGACACGCCGAACATAATTCCCCACGCCCGTCTACCCATTCCATGATTCCGATTTCCGATTCCATGATTCTTCAGTTACGAGCAAAACAGCAATAGTAAATAGAAAGAATAGCGAAATAATAAAGAATAGCGAATCTGTGGAAGAGAACAGCCTATTCCTAATCAACCCACAAATAAATGCTTAGAATTAGTACAATAAAGAAAGCAACACACGTACCTGTTACTATTTTTTGAGATACAAATTATCTCGGCAATTCTCATTTCAGTCGGATTTTATTTATTAAATTTTCATACCAGAAAGATAGAATTGTCTTATTGTAGGTCTTCCTTGAATATCCTATTTTTTACTCCAAACAGGGGAACGGTGTTAAATCCCAGGAAATGACTTATGAATTTGATAGAGAAAAAGAAATATTCGTGGTTCATCCAGTTCTTGAATCCACACCTGCTGTCCAAGCATCAGAAGGTTCCTTGGCACCAATCATTCTTTTGAAACGTCCAATGAAAATATAGCGGTCAAAAATGCGACGGTACTCGTTACTAAAATTGAAAAATTCAGTATTGCTTGCACTGCTTATGAAGAAGAGAGTAAGACTGTTATTCCTGCGTTACTTGCACGTGTTTTTTATCTATTTTAGCGGCAGATTCTAGCTATTTTGTTGCAAATTAGGTTCACCAAAAAGTTTTGATCGATTCTTCGCTCTATTTCAGAGGCCTTTACTTCCATAAAAAGAAAGGATCCCAATAGGTAATACAGTCTCCATCTTTATCCACAACACATAACCAACGCAGTTTTCCATTCCCGAAGTTCAGGGCTGCTGCGGCCGCGGTATGGGAAAGCTGGAATTTTTAGCTTTGAATTCCGAACGGTCGTCAAACTTTTTATCATGAAAGTGATGTTTTAGAGCAGAAAGTAGATGGTAGCCGGACTGAGCGAGATCTGGCGAATAAGAAGGATGGGCAACACATCCCATCCAAGTTCGTCAATTTCTGCGGACGCTCCTTTCGACTAACGTCGGCTGAACCCTGTAGCTGAGGAGCATTATATCGGTCACGGTGGAAACTTCAGGAAACAATCCAAAATGGAGCTTTTCCTGAGATTCCCACCAACAACATCGTGAACCTCCTTTGGGTATGGACTGCTCTTCTGCTGTCTTGAAAGTGGCTCGGCACGAAACACCCGTTGATTGAGTCCCGATATCTCTTCTGAAAGCACCACACATATCTGCGATTAATTGTGCCTCTACAGAAATTTGTAATAGACGATATTTCTTAGATATCTTCTTCCAACCCTTGATGGTTAAAGTCATAATTGCGAAACACTTACACCCTTACGAGGGCCTGATCATATATGATCACTTACCCCCCCCCCCCCC